AAAGTCCGACCTCGTCACCTCTTCTCATCCCGATGGCACCTCGGCAGTTATTTGTCTGTTGAGAGCACATCGATTCCCAGAGACACCATGTCTTTGGCTATGATTCTGGTCGCACTCACGCTGGCAGCGTTCATAGCCCGTGTTGTTTATCGCTGCTACTTTCATCCTCTCGCTCGCTATCCTGGGCCTTGGTTTGCCCACATCTCTAATGCCTGGTTCGTTCACATCTACTCTTCAGCTTGAACGAAGATCTAGGGCTAACTCAATCAGGAGACTCGTTACATTCTTCAGTGGCCAGCATCACTTAATAGAACAGCGTCTACACGCTAGATACGGTCGCGTGGTCCGAGTTGCACCCAACTGGCTATCATTCTCCAGTCTAGATGATTTCGAGGCCGTCTATGGCTTCAACAAGGCCATCGAGAAGAACGAGTTCTATGATTTTGGTCGCAACCGGGGCAGCCGGCCCGAGAGCATCTTCGCCGCAAAGACAGAGGCCAGTCACCGAGTCAAGAAGAAGAAGGTGGTCAGTCCAGCTTTGACTAGTACCAGGATCGCTACATACAAGCCTGTCATCGATAAGCATGTGGGGATTCTGCTGGCGCGGCTGCAGTCACGGTTGGAGGGTTTAATACAAGATGGGAAGAACAATGGTACTGCTTTGGTGAACATGGCTCCCGTTGTGCATCAGTTCACTCTAGACACAATGCTTGAGCTGGTCTTCGGCCCTAGCCTAGCGGCACACCCGTATACTGATACCCCTGCTGGCGAAGGGGTATGTTCAAATCTGCGCATCATGACCAAAATGGCCTGGAGTTTCTCACTTTGGCCCGCCTTTGGGTGGCTCATGAACACACGTCCGGTTGATGCAATGTTACGCCGACCGACTTACAGCAAGCAAGGTGAACTCACCGGTATGGCGGGCCTCATGGGCGTGGCCATGCCGAGGCTGCTCAGGAACCCACAACAAGTGGTCGCATCTTCCCAGCCTAGTATTGTCAAGGGCTGGCTAGAAGTCCCTCCGGACGATGCGAATCGTATGACTCCAGCTGAAGTCGCGTCGGAGGCGTCCAACTTGGTCATAGCCGGACCAGGAAGCACAGCAGCTGCTCTGACAGCAGTTATATTCTACCTGGGCACGGAAGACGGCCAAGCTTGGCAGGAAAGAATTCGAGAGCAAACGCGCGCCTCCCAGAGCCATGATTCAGGGCCATCGCCGCCGGAACTCCAGGCGGTGATCAAAGAAACGTTAAGACTAAGCGTCCCATTTCCGACTGCTTTCCCCCGAGTGATTAGACCTGGCGCTGAGATGGCCATACCTAGCCTCCCTGCTCCGCTGCCTGTCGGAACAACGGTCTCTGCGAATACATTTGTGCTGGGTCGATCGCGAGAACTCTGGGGCAATGACGCCGACGAATGGGAACCACAGCGCTGGCTCGGGAGTGAGCAACACCGTCGAGAGATGGAGACCAAATTTGTGGCATTCAGCAAAGGCTCGCGGAGCTGCGTTGGACGTGAGTTGGCGTTGCTGGTTCTCGCAGAGGCAGTGATTGGGATTCTCCAGCAGTGGAGATTCCGCAGTAGGGGGGAGTTGCGAGGCAAAAGCTTCCTTGAGATGCAGTATGACGAGTGTTGGATTGAATTCGAGCCGCTTGACCTGTCGTTGAGCGCATGAAGCGTAGCTCAGCTTGATATCCTGGTAGCTTAAAAGCACTCTTTCGTCCATTGTTGCGTCTCATTCGTCAATATGCAGGCCATGAGTCACAAATGAAACCAAATATGACGCAAAATCTTGTCCGATTCATTGTCTGGCTGGGAGAGTCGAATAGTGATTGCAACCAGCTGCAAGACATGCTGGGCTAATCTGTTTTGTGACCCCGACGGAGGCCGATCTGCGCCCAGATCCACTGCACCACCATCTACTTCATCTCCACTGTTTACCCTTTAAGATTTTACTCTCGTCACATCAGACATAAATACTAATGTCCATCATCTCTTCTTTTCTCATCTTGCTGTCTCTATCTTCTCTCTAGACTATAGCATCCTCAGGACGACGGCGTTGTGTTCTGTCCTTCAAAGCCACACTCCTGGGTCCTCACGACTCACTATTCCTCATTGACCGTGAGGAGACCGAGGACAATACATGAAATCTCTGAGACTGTATCGCTGAGGGACTGAAACTTTATCCATCTCATCGCCTCAGAATGGCATCCACCAGTGCCCTTCCTCAAACCCTCAAATCCATCACCGCCACCAAAATCAAAGAACTCTCGAAACAGCGTAAGCGCTTTGAAGAACGCAAGGACAAGATCTTCAAAGACGCGCAGGACGCCGCTGATCTGCGTTATAGAGTCCAGGTCCTCCTCGAGGGAGTTACCAAGCTCAAGGGTGATCCCAACGACGCCTTCGACAAGGAGGATCTCGACGCGGATGATACTGAGGAGCAGACGGCCAGAGTCGCTGATTGCTCTGACCGCGCCACGTACACCAATATTCGCCGCTTCCTCCTACAAAGTCAGTATGACCCATCTGTTTCTGAGAGTAGCTTGAGAGACTGGATCGTGCAGCTGGAGGAGGAGCTGCAGTCGCTCGAGCTGAAGCATGAGCATGCTGCGTTCTACAGTAATCTGGTGACAGAGTGGCTGGAGAACTTGGAGGCTGAGCAGGGCACCGGAAAAGAGTTTGAGTCGGTGGGACGCGCGGAGATGCAGGAGCAGCGTGCGACATGGGAGTCATTGGTTTTCTCAACGGCGGACGTAAATGCCGATGCGATCCGTGCGTACCTTGATTGTCTATTCAAGACCACACCTTTGACCCAACAGGCGCTCAAGGAACTCCGGGAGAGGATCAAGTCGTTTGGGACCGAATTCGCTGCGAAAAAGAAGTGGTTCAGCGTCGACGACCTCAAGTGGGTCTCCGAGTCGCTACTGAAGACTGACCTGCTCACCAAGGAGAAGATGGGTATTCTGAGGGAGTTCATGCGCAACAAGGCAGTAGCTCAGGAGGTGGCAGATGTGTTGAATATGCGTCTGGCTTCGCTGGACAGCTGGAACCGGCCTGAGGACGGGATACCTGTTGAGATGCGTCGTCAGCTCAACGGCAAGTACCGAGTGTTCATGGACGAGGATCTGCTGGACAGTCTTCTCTTCCAGTACCTGGGACTCAAATGGTCGGTGGCGTTCAAGAAAGCATTCGAGGCTTTTTTCAGGACTCGCGCTTGGCAATCGCCGCGCCAGCAGATCTCCAAAGAAGAGCGGGAACGGCGCAGGTATTTTCTGGACTCGACGGTTTGCGGCGGCTGCGTGAATGACTACAGACGGCAGACGTACGAGACGGACTACTTTATGACCCAGCTGCCGTCGTCCGTGGAAGCAGGTGTTCCAGAGTACAGTGACGAAGTGAGCAGCGACGATATCACCGACGGGGAAAAGCGCAAGAACGCCCTGGACACCAAGCACGCACTGCTTCACCTCCTGATCACAGAGTCGATCATCCACACCACACAGTACGGCCAATTTACGGCCATCCGTTCCGATTTCAAGTGGTTTGGCCCGTCGCTGTCACACGCGACCGTTCTGGCGGTGCTGGAGTACTTTGGGGTTCCCCAGAACTGGCTCCATTTTTTCAAGGTTTTCCTCGAAGCGCCGATCAAATTCACGCAGGACGGAGAGAAGGCCGCGGTGCAGGTCCGCAAGCGGGGAGTTCCCATAAGTCATACGCTATCAGACTGCTTTGGCGAGACGGTCCTCTTCTGCATGGACTATGCGGTGAACCAAAGCACCGAGGGCGCCTACCTGTACCGCCTGCATGATGACTTTTGGTTCTGGGGCCGCGAGCAGACCTGCGTCAAGGCTTGGGGCGCCATGACCAAGTTTGCCAAGGTCATGGGCCTTGAGCTCAACGAGGAAAAGACAGGAACAGTCCGGTTGACAAAGCCAAACTCCCGTCAAGGCAGCCCAGTCCCAGCAGGTCCAGAGCCTTCGACCCTGCTACCGGCAGGGGACATCCGCTGGGGCTTTCTGAAGCTCGACCCGCAGGAGGGCCGCTTCGTCATCGACCAGTCGCAGGTGGACAGCCACATTGCCGAACTGGGCCACCAGCTCGCCTCGTGCAAGAGCATCTTCGCCTGGGTACAGGCCTGGAACAGCTACTTTGCGCGCTTCTTCACCAACAACTTCGGCAAACCCGCCATGTGCTTTGGCCGGAGCCACATCGACATGGCCATCTCGACGCTCAGCCGCATCGAGCGGACTCTGTTTCCCAACGGCGTCACGGCGCACCTCCGCCAGATGATCGCGGACAAGTTTGACGTCCATGATCTCCCAGACGGCTTCTTCTACTTCCCCATCGAGCTGGGCGGCTTGCAGCTGCTGAATCCGTACGTTCCGCTTCTGGCAATGCGCGAGGACATCAAGCAGACGCCACAGCGCCGGCTCCAGAAAGCGTTCCTGGAGGACGAGGACGCCTGGCATGCGGCCAAGGAGCGGTTCGAGAAGGTCGGCCCCCGCAGCTCGGTGCGCGCTTACTTCAATGATGATGGCAGCCCGGCCACTTTCATGTCGCTGGACGAGTTCATGCGCTTTCCCGAGTCTCACAGTCCGGCTTTGCTGCATGCCTATAAGGATCTGATCCGCATCCCCCAAGAGGTCAGCATCAATCAGACTGCCGGGTTCCAGAGTAGCCTGGTGTCGCTGAAGAAGACGGGATCAGGCGGCAGCCGGGGAATTACGGATTCGTGGGCGACGATGACACCATACTGGCGCTGGACGGCCGAGGTGTATCACGAGGAGATGGTCCAGAAGTTTGGAGGTCTGGCGGCTGTCAACAGGGAATTCATGCCGTTGGGGGTTGTCGAGACGCTGAGAGAGGGCAAGTTCAGATGGCAAGGTTGATGTGAATGTACAATATTTATATATATTTATACCTTTTGATACCAATTTGTTTTTTGACAGTCATTCGTCACAGTCATATCTCATTAATCATCCGTATCATAACTACGACTACGACGTATACGTATCCTCGAAATCCAGCAAAAGCCCCCTCATCCGCTCCTTCTCCTCCTGGCCCCCAAAAATCACATCGACCGACTCCCGACACAACGCAAGCAGCTCCGCCCTGCCGAGATGAAAGTGCTCCGCCGCCAGGAGATACTCATTCGAGACAGGACTACAGAAGAAGCCCATATCGTCCGTCTGTACCGTCAGTACGCCAGCACCGTCAGCACCTAATCCTCCCCAGAGAACATAGAGTAAAAGGAGTCAAGAAAACATACACACAGCACAACCGGACAATCCACATGCCTCCAATACCCGAAATGATGCGCGGGGAACCCCCCATCGATCATCTCCGCATGCACATTACACGACATGCACAGCTCCAGCCCCAGCCGCCGCCGCGCAATCTCGCGCTTGAAGTCCTCGGGCACATGGATGACGTGGCCCAGGCGGTCCGGCCGGAACGATAACAGCGTGCTTAGCTCCCTCTCCGAGCCGGAGACCTCCGTCTCGGCGAAGTGCAGTGTGATGCCTAGCCCGTGCGCCTTGGCTTTGGCGAGGGCGTCCGCGTACAGCGCGACGTCGCCTTTGGTGGGGTTGCCGCAGATGTCGATGCCGACGACGCGTGGGCGGTGCGCGATGGCCAGGTCGACGATGTCGAGGGCGTCGGCGGCGGTGCTGTTGCCGCGGTCGATGGCGAGGATGAGGTAGATTGAGATTTGGGGGGAGTGAATGGTCAAAAAGGCTTCGATGGTGGCGAGGACTGTGGTGAGGTATTCTGTTTGGGTGAAGGCGAGGGTGGGCGAGGCGCGGGGGATGGTGCGGAGTTCGAGGTAGCGGACGCCGTCGGCGAGGAAGTCTTGCAGGACGGTGTGGGTGGCGTAGGCGAGGCTGTCGAGGTCGTTGCAGAGTTGGTAGATGGATTTGGAGAAGACGGAGAAGAAGCTGTTGGGGGTATTCTTAGCGGGTGGTTCTTGTGCAATGGGATGGGGTCAGGTTGTGTTGGAGTACGTCTGAAGAGAGTAGTCGACTTTTCCTGGTGGCATGACTATCAGGGGGTCTTCGACGTCGAAGCCGGGGTTTTGGGCTTTCTTCTTTAGCCAGATCTCATGGAGACATTGGCGGCTGATGCTGCCGCTCAGATGAGCGTGGACCTGGAACTCGTTAGACACGGGCAGATGCTGTTGGGGAAGTTACTACGATACCTCGACCTTGGGTAGCGCCTTGGTGAATGCGGCATCGACCGGCTTTGAAACGTCCATGCTTCTGGTGGACGCCTTCTGTATATTGAATTTTTATCCTTCTGTGGTATCTCCAGTCGCTATGGACGAGGAAGCTCGAACCTACAGAAGAGTTGGCGTGGGGAAGATGGCGGTGACTCCTCACATAACAAGTTCTGTAGGGTGTATCTACACGGTGAGATGCACAACAATTTGTCTTCTTTTCTAGAGAGTGGTATGGGTGTGAAATCATTTTTCTGCTCTCAGTGCTATTCAATTTCACCACTATTGCTAGTAATAGTCAAGTCTGAACTACTCAGGATACTTTCCTCCCAAGCATTCTGTCGGAATATTCTTGACCATCAATGCATCGAGGTCTTGTATCACTCTACTCTGCCAGAAGTCTCCTATCTGGAGAAGAACGAAGCATTCAAAAGGACAGATAATTGGAATACGATTAACAGTGGTCGTGTGCAAGGCTAGGCGCTAAATTGCTACGTCTAACAACAGTCGAGTCGTCATCCTCTACAAGTACATAGTCCCAGTCTCTTTCCGACGCACGACTGCGTCTGCCCTCATACTCGATCGTTAGTACTCATGGTGCCGCGAAATTAACGAGACTGTGAAGCAGGAGGTACTTACTAGTAGTCCATCTCATCAGTCACTTCCGTGGACCTGAAGCGACCCAATTGGTTTCAGCTCGGCCGATAAAGACCGGGACGCGTGTGTTCTTGCGTTGTCTGGATGATAAGGTACGTGGCCAGGCTAGGTGCTCAAAATCTGTATGGACTGATAGCTGAATGTGTTATAGCTCTGAAGTATGATGATTGTCCTCTTTCCTCCCGCGATATATCCACAACCTATTCCTCTAACTGTTACCGCCTTGTGGGTTGCATCAAAGTTAATTGTGCGAATCTAGTCAAACAAACCTAGGTAGCTCACGCTTGACAATACCTGTTACTGCCTCAGCTTGTCAAGGTGAGTATGGCCATCTGCCGTCCCAGACAGTCAACATCCCTGTCATTCAGAGGGGTCTCTATGTCACGGTTGTTTCTAGAGAGCAGGACCCTTGCCCATGCGAGGACCTTCCTCAGCGATGAGCTTATCAGCGTAAATCCTGGTAGAGTCAGATGACGTTCGGATGCAGTAAGTAGCAAGCTAGCAGACTAATGCGGAGACTCGCTTCTCTTGTCGATATTAAGTGCAACGATAGAATCACGGAATCGCTCTACCCGCCAGTGCCTGTTTCGGTTGAATTGGACTCCGAAATTCAGACGATGGCTCCAATGAAAAGTGGAGAAGGGTAAAGGAAGGAACGTAGGAGTGTGCAGAAGAGCATAGAAGAAGAGTGGAAAGGAATGAAACCTTGATCAGGTGCAACCTTTGCTCCTCTTCCGACACTAGGCTACAAGTCTGAGCCGTCTGTCGTATGTACGCATCTGTGGACTTGCACAAGGGCGCTCTCCTATACTCCGTTCCGGATATTGCTATAACAACCAGTGCGCCAATGCCACGACAGGGAAAATGGTGGGGGCATGGGGGCACCGTAGCACAAGCACAAGTTTCACAATCCCTCCTCCCGCCGGCCGTATAAACTCATCCTGCGTTTGGCGAGAGAGTCATTGCCATGCAGATTGCTTCTGCGTGGGATGCACCAAGCCCAGCACTGAAATTTGAGGAAATGGTTCTCTATTGGGTTTTTCTCGGCTTCGCTAAGCACATTTTTTTGAAAGCCTAGGATCTTTAGTAGCATTGGCGCTTTAAAAAGGCGGGGTCGCCAACTTTCATTCTTCGTGTCTCAGATTCTCTTCCCATATGAAGTATGGACGCAGTATTACTTCAGGGATTGTTGCTGAGAACAAGGTACAAATCTGGCTGCCTTCCAGGTTGCAATCTGCACTGCCTCAGGTCGTCAAGCGAGCCGAATGAGACTTGCTATTTCTCCACCAATTCCTCGAGGATGTCGAAGGATTCTGGAAACGCACCTAAGAGTCTAGGACAAAAATGATTGGACAAATAGTTTCAGATCCCAAGCAAGTGAGGCTATTTTTAGCTGGAGATCTAGTGTGGAGAGGTGGGTTTTGACGGTACAAATAAAAACAAGAGGTTTTTCTGTCGCGTGCTTGAAATCAGTAGTTTAATTGGCAATGTGTCACTTGGTCAGTCGATAGTGCTTCTCATAGCCGGCATTTGGCCCCTTACTACTCCGTACGTCCGCGATGGAGACAATATTGAACTCCTAATCGTATCGAGCCCAAAATTCAAATTCCGTCAACGAAGGCAACTGACAATTTTGACCCTAACGGTTTGTGCGTCGGACAGAGCTGAGCACGGGAGTGGCGCCCTGTTGCCGGGGCGGACCGAAACTAACAAGAAAACAACATCTGAGTCCAGACCGCGAGACGATGGAAAGAGTGAAAACTCTTGATTGAACCGCTAGGAGTCTCGATTGGCAGTATCGACTGAGAGAAGTCGTAATTGATCACTGATAACGCGCTTACGGCCATTGGTGGCTGGTCCGCGAAGCATGCTAGTATCAGACTATCAGGCACTCAAACCCAAGTCCCTGTACTCCGTAAAAGGCTGAGAAAAAGACCGAGATCAGATGGTGGATCTCAGTTATCTCAAATCAAACACCGCTGCCGGGTATTCCAGCAAGAAGATAATAGGGTCTATCCCTCCTCACCTGCGGGTCGCAGAGTGCCTGGATGGACAGTCGATAGAAACACCAAGAGCCCACTCCTGTAAGGTACAATAATATTGTCTTTAGTAGATTTCTATATTCTCGATCACACATCGGTAAGTGACGAGCCTCAAATGTCTCTTGATGAAGCTGCATTGCTAGCGGAGAGCAAGAACTCAATAGTAAGCTCACCAGCACATAGAGATTATGCGCTTTCGAGAAGACAGGTGACATGCACCTTAGTCGCTAGTCACCGTACCATGAACGAGAGCCACAGAAATTCCAAAGTGCTCAGGAAAAAGGAAAGAGAGTAACTGCCTGTATTGAGAATTGTGGTCACAAGACTCGGCAGACGATAGAGGGAGAAAGGCTTCGCTCATGCAGATTGTTAGCCCGGTAGCTACTATTATTGTTGAGAAACTTGAGAGTACCTATAGGTATGCATTATCACCCACGAATCGATGACTATTGAGAGCTGTTCGCCAGCCAGAGCACGTTGGTGGTTGACTGGGGGCTGGCTGGCTAGGGAGGGGAGTGCAGCTCATCAGTCCAAGGCACAAGGCACGACGGAGATGACCGTGCTGACGCTTTGAGACACATGCGCTGTTCGAGGGCCTGGAAGGTTTGTGGAGATGACTCGAGGTGTGCATTACAGCCTCGAAACGCATCAAGCGATTGAAGCGGCTGAAGGTGATATTCCCTGCCTAAGGCAGGAGGCTTGCATACCATTCAGCTATTGGGCACAAGATACAAGTGCTACCAGCAGAGTTAGACTAATTTTAATCAATATTATTGCCATCACCTTATGAGAGCCAGATATGATACTAGCACGAAATTTGTCGATATCCTCTGTATCTAAACCCCCTACGGAAAGGTAGACGCCCAGGCTAAAAGGCCAACGCACAGGAAATATGCCCATCCAACCCCGGTTCGAGAGGCGCAACGTTCCATCCAGTTGGGAACAGCTCACCTCAGCCTTTACCTGGTCATAATTACAAATGAATTACATTTCGCAACCCTCACAGTCGATGATGTCAAAGGCTAGGTATCTCTTACACAGGTTTGTTCTGCCCCGTCAGTCGGTCTCCTGAAGATCAAGGGACGAGATTACAAATATGTATTTGACGAAATCATCTGACTGCGTGTCATGAATTGAAGTTGGGCCAACTATCGAAGATCGACAGCGAGAAAATCTACCTATTTGCGGCCGGTTTCTATTTCATATGGGGTTGTGTGGGCTGTGGATACTGGAACTTGGGGTCGCAAAACATCGACAGGGCAGAACCTCAGATGTTTAATAAGAGGTACTGTATGTATTGTTCTTACAAGAACAGTGTAATGGAATTACACTGACCAGTCCAGCAATACACGCTAATGCATCTGATGCAGTAACCACGCTGGCGGGAAACGACAGACTAAGGTACCTAGTGTCCTTTTAGTTAAACAGTTTCTTGAGCTAGATACCCATAAGGTAAAGTAGGACCAAAATTCTGGTATGTATTTCTATTAAAGCTGCTTGTTATTCTCCCCCTTTCCATTCTTTCATTCTTTCAATACCTTGTGATGCGCAGAAGGGTATTCTTGAAAAGCGGGGATCCCTGGTTCAGTTGCATGGGGCAATTTGTCCATGATGTCATAATGTCCTTAACCGTTGACTGTTACCAATTTGGTAGGACCACGATATCTCTTTTCGCTCTGCCTTAGACTAACTTGATTCCTCCTGTAAGAGAGGCACATTCATTACTGTATTAGAAACGGAGAATGGAGCATGCCTCGTTTCGCGTGTTTCTCTCCGCCCTTTCTAGTGGAGCTCCGTAATACGGTAGGGACAAGTGTTTGTCGGAATCAGATTAGGAAAATCAATGAATGTGGAAATAAGATCCAAGGCACAGTTGGCGTCATGAAATCATGGGCGATACTATGATATGCCGATTGAACCGGCAAGGGAATACAATGATAACTTTGAACAAATGAGACTTGATTTCTCTACTTCGTAGTAAGGGGATGCGAAAACGATAACCCAAGGAAGAAGCGGGGGTTCTGACCGCTCCTCTTACTGGCTGCTGGCAGTGCGTGATCGTAGCAAGGAATTTTCGGATGCGAGATCCTCCCTGGCCTGGCTGAAGGGAAGAACGATGGATGGAAGGCTTGGAAGCTGTCAAGTGTGGGGCATTTACCGTTTGAGAAATGCCCCATTAGGCAGACGCCAAGAGCCAATCAGCAGTCTTAAGCCTTCGCTCAGGAGTTTTGTTCTTATTGGATGCCTTAGGCTGCAAAGTCCAATGGGAGGAGACACTCCAATGACTCAAACTAGTAAGCAATGATTACCTGCCTACTCAATAATAGATAAGTTGGATAA